TCCCCCCCCCCCCAAATAAGTTGGTACTCAACGCCATAATGGAAAAGTCTGTATATACTGGGACTGGGTCACCAGCCCGGAAAACATACGAATCTCTCCAACATGCAAACATAACACAAGTGTGTGAAACTCACCCACACACTCGCCAAAGCCACTATGCGACAACACAACTAGCTAAAATTCGATCTTGTACATACATTAAGATATACCAAGCTTGAGCGAGACATTCATCGCCCCGCCTATCAACTATCTCTCCAGGCCGAGCGATGAAGGGACTAGATAGACTAAGACTCCTCGAATGTATGTATGGACCGTACAACAACATGTAGTATTCTCCAATAAATGAGTAAAAGAAGCAACATACAGAATTCTTACGTAACTCCACTACCAACACAGGAAATGTACATTTGATCTCGCTCGAATTTACAGCAAGAAAAATTCGACCCCACTCGAATTAGCAAGTCAAATTTGATTCGATCGAATTAACAAGTCAAAATTTGGCCTCACTCGAATTGGCAAGACAAATTCGACCTCGCTCGAATTGGCAAGTCAAAATTCGACCTTGCTCGAATTGGCAAGTCAAATTCGACCTCGCTCGAATTAGCAAGACAAATTCGACCTCTTTCGAATTAACAAGTCAAATTCGACCTCGCTCGAATTAGCAAGACTAATTCGACCTCGCTTGAGTTAACAAGTCAAATTCGACCTCGCTCGAATTAACAAGCTACATTCGACCCCGCTCGAATTAACAAGCTACATTCGACCCCGCTCGAATTAACTACCGAAATTCAGGGACTTATTGCATGAAGATCCAGGAAATTCGAAAAGAAAAGATAAGGAAAGGCCAAAGACATTCAATCAAGGACAAATCAACTATTCCATTCAAAGGAAAAATAGTGTCTTACAAAGGGCCAAAAGGGGTTCCCACCCAACTAACTGAGTACTGAAAAACTAAGTGCAAGAGGAAAAATTAAGTGCAAAAGCTTCACTTAGCATTATCGCCATCCATGACGTCATCTCTCTCCCTACTTGATTCAGCGGCTTCACCTCAACCGTTACCCTTTCCATCAGAATGTTCATCATCAAAGGTAAGACCATCCTCGACCTCATCGTCTCCACTAACGTCCGATGTCGCGGGGTCATAATCGCGGGCAAGCCGGGCCTCACGCGCTTTAACGCAAACT